TAGGAATCTGCTGACTTAAGGAAAAAACATGAGAATAGAGTTGGTTGATGAAAAAATGAAAAGAAGTAAGAAAAAGCTATTAGAAGCATACACAATTATGTAGGAAAGCAAGTAAACAGCAACAAAACTGTTTCCCTAAGGAAATCCAAAGCAGAATGGTAAAAAGTATAAAAAAAAAAGAGGCAGGAGACTGCTGTTCATTTTCTTTTTTTCAAAGTTTCATTTCAGTTATTTAAAAAGATAGGACGACAGAGGAATTTTATCTGCCGGTTCACTCCCCTAAATCATAGTAACAGGGTGGGCCACATGAAAGCCAGAAGCCAGGAGCTCCATCTGGTTTTTCCATGTGGACAACAGGGGCTGAGGTGTCTGGTTCATCTTCTGCCACCTTCTCAGGTGCATGTTTAGCAGGGAGTTGGACTGCAACTGGAGCAGCTGGAACTCACACTGGCGCTCAGATGGGATGCTGTGTTGGCCTTGCAGTGGGTGTCTGAAGCTGCAAGGTCACATCAGCCCCTGACTGCTATTATGGACACAGAATCTCATTTACCTTCACAGGGACTGGAGGAGCAGCACACAACACACTGTCTCATCTCACGTTTTCAGTTTCTATGTTGCACCTCACTTTCTCAAATACTATCTACTCAAAAAGTTCCTGAACCCCATCAGGAATGGGATTTTTACTGGAGCTGCATATCTTGCAGTCAAACTTCCTCAACCAGTGAGGACTGGCTGCCTCAGAGCACACTCCGAACCCTTCCGTTGATCTGGGTTCCAAGCTTACCTGGCAGAAGCTCCACTCTGCCTGAGTCCAACTTTCCATCTACTCTGCTGCATCGCCCTGTTTAACTTCCTCCTCAGGTCTCTGAGCTCATTATGATTTCCTTCCTGCCAAAGCTTCCAATGGCTTCCCACATTGCCAAATTCATGTTATCTCTGAATCTTCTAACTCAGTTGCTACATAGTATCTAGCACAGTTGCACATTTCTCCTTGAAACTTGGCTTCTGGGGCAGCCCCTGCTTTGAGTTGTCCTTCTACCTCATTGCTATCCTTTTCAGCCTCTTCTTCTAGAACCCCAAATGGGGGCTGGGGGAAATGTCTTATTTCTTCACCTAGGCTTCAGGTTGGGGTTTCTCAAGATTAGCACTAAGAACTTCTGGGGTGGGATCACTTGTTGCTGTGTGGGAGCCTGACAAGTGTGCCCTATGGAATGCTTAGGGGCGTTCCTGGCCTCTACCCATTAGAGGCAGGCAACAGCCTCCATCCCATAATCGTGACAATCAAAACTGTGTGCAGACATTACCAAATTCTCTTGAGGGCCAAACTCATCTATGGTTGACAACCACTAGTGGAGATAAACTCAACCAGAACTATGGCTTCAAATATCTCCCAGAAGTCAAGGAGGCCCAAAGACCTTTCTTCAAGCTCCAGACTAGCTGCTTTCTTGGAATCTTTACTTGAAGGCAGGGGTAACAACTGTCTGCTGTCTTTCCTGTGTTGTATCATCTCTATGCAGGCAGGAATTCGTATTCTAACTGTGTGTCTCCAGTACCTAGAACAATTCTGGGCCTTTAAAGTCAACATGCATTTGCCGGTTGAAGAGCTGGAAACTTCTTGTGGCTCATCAGTCGTGAAGGAATCAGGTAGATATTTTAAACATGTTGAGGTATTTTTTTAAAGACAAATTTTTCTTTAATTTCAATTTTAAAAGAATGTTGCACTTCAAAGCAACATAGCACTAGCCATTAAACTTTAACTTTGTTACTCTCTTGGAAGAAAAATCAGAACTAGCACTTCCTTTTTTCAATGTGTGCTTTATTCCAGGTTATGATTCATTTCAGTTTAGACTTCTGTATACCACAAATAGAGGCATATCAATATTTCTTTCTAACAGTAATTGTGTCTTTTTATTCTCAAGTTGCCAGCGAGTTATCAATTCTTAGCTGCAAGTGTCTGCTTCGATGGCTTATTCTAATGGTCTAATTCATGATGATTTTGAAGTGAAGAATAGAAGTAAAATTGTCAAAAGAAGTTTGAAATTTATCTTTTAAAAATGATTTCCTGGATAATAGGCACATTTATGAATAAACATAATAGCTTCTCGTGTTTCTCTCCTTTGCTGGGAAGTTATAATCAAACACCTCATGTCTTTACACTCTCCACAGTTCTTACACAGATGTTATAAACAAAACTACTTCTAATACTTCTAATTAAAGAAGATCATGACTTTCTACACTTATTTCTGGGCTAGGTATCTACCTAATTTTGTCATAATTCTCATCAGTTTATTTAATCACTTGGGAGCTTGTTCACTAAAGATGTAAATTTTTCCCTACCTTTTATGTAAATTTCCTGAGGTTCCTATATAAAATGGTTCTTTGAATAGAATGAATAATATTTTAATGATTCATGCAAGCTAGGTGTGATGGCTTTTAAAACTTCAGATGTAACAGACTACACATATTAAATATTTAGTTTGCGAAACATGGAGTGTAACTCAAACATTATTAGCTTCATGGAGGTTACAAGCTCACATTTCATACACTCACTTGTGCCTTTCAACATTTAAATGGCATCTTTGGTGTATACATTTAAAAATTAGTCAATTCTATATAGTAAAAATTCCATTAAAAGGTATATGTTCAGCACTGAAAGGTTCTGCATTTTAGTATTTTCTCAAACACTTTTGATTTGAATACAAAATATACCAATAAAAAGCTGCCACAGGTATTTTGAAAAAATGGTGCATGAAAACAGTATGTAGTAGAAGAAAGGAGGTTTCATACATATATATTTATTTATATATATTTATTTATTCATTTTTATTGGAAAGGAAGATCAGATTTATGAAGAGAGGGAGAGACAGAGAGAAAGATCTTCCATCTGCTGGTTCACTCCCCAAAAGTCTATAATGGTGAGAGCTGAGCTGATCCGAACCCAGGATCCAAAAGCATCTTCCGGGCTTCCCATGCAGGTACAAAATCCCAAGGCTTTGGGCCATCCTCTACTCTCTCCCAGGGAAGTGGAGCAGCCAGGACATGAACTGGCACCCATTTGGGATCCCAGCACTTGCAAGATAAGGATTTTGCCTTTGAGTCATCATGCCATGCCCAGAAAGTTATATATTTTAAGACAGGAGGACATCTTAAAAGTCATAAAAATTTTATGTCTAACCATTTATTAGTAAATTAAATCTTTTTAGAAAAGAGCTTGAAAGCATTACTTTTCTAAACAATGCTTTTTCATATAGATAATCCTTGATATGTTTTAGGGAGAGGTTTAAATTATATCAAGGCACTAGTGAAATAGAACTTGGTTAATTTCTGCAAATGCATCTTAGTAAGTTTAAAAATAATCGGCCTTGACTTCGCCTATATCTGCAGGTGTGACCATCTGGGGAGTGAACCAGTGGATAAAAGACCTATATTTTCCTATAATTCTGCTTCTAAAATAAAGTTCTCACAATTTTTCAATGTAAAGGTAGGGTGGTTTTGATGTCTCATAACCTGGACCACTGAAGAAACTAAAACTATATAAATACTTTTGTAAATAAGTGTGCTTTACTTGCAAGGATTTTCTGAAGTATAAAACCTCATTCTCCTTAATTATAAAACTAAGAAAGCACAAGAGCTTTGGCTAACATAATAACTGAGTTCAGTGAGCTGTCTGTCCCAGGCATTTCCCTGCTTTCCAGAAGTGTGTGGGTGGAGTGACTCATCCATCCACAAAGACACTGGTGCGTGTTGTGGGCCAAGATACCTTGCAGTCTGTGTGTGGTTTTTTTTTTTTTTTTTTTTTTTACATTGAGTGGATTTCTAAGAAATAAGAATCTTGTTCCTAAATGTTGAAATGTCTACAGAACATGACTTAGTTGGACTTCCTGCTGAAGTGATGTTAAAAAGAAAATCCTTTCAATGAACACTTTCTAAAATGCTTTAGTATGTCAGTGGATGTTGCTGGAGAAAATGCAGGAGATTTTCAGCAATCGGACTGGCTTCTGTCTGGGTGCCTGAAATAGTTGGTGGCATGGCTCCTCTAGTCAGTGCCTTCTCAATATCAGGGGTTGTCAAAGGACCTCACTTAACACGTACAATGGGGAATGCACAGTCTTTTAAGAATGCAAAACAAATCAAGCACAGCAAATACAATTTAGCATTTCTCTGAGTAATATATATTTTTTCTTTTTCTTCTCCCCACGGTGGACTTGTTGTACCCAAGGGGATACATCAAGGAAATGTAACAGAAATTAATATGTTCATTGGAAACAGAGAGAAATAAGTCCTCATACATGCACTACAGGAATGGACTCACAACGAAATGACTGACAATCTCCTACATTATTGCGAGACACCCCCGTGGCAGCATGACAGACTTATGAAAATTCATGAAAGACACCCATTGTAAGACTGGAGGGGAGAAGAGAGGGAAGGGGAGGGAACTTGAGGAGGCAAAACGGAGACCCCAGTTCCAACTAAACTGTACCAACTGTATCAACTAAACTGTATGAACTAAGAAAAAGAAAAAAATGCAAAACAAATGAAGTACAGCAAATACATTTTAGTTTTTTTCTGGGTAAGATTCTATACATCCATTAATCTCTGCATGTATTGAAATAGATAGTCTGTAAAGAATGGATATTGCTAAACTCAGAGTACATTCTGGAATACCTCTATCCTTACTGCCCCACCCCTTCTTAAAAATATTGTTGGTATTCACTTCATCATTTGCCTGCTGCTCCTACAAGTGGAACAGCCAGCTTTATGGACTTGGTCAAAAAAACTGTTACACATTAGGAACTGAAAAAAAAAATAGATAATGCCAATAAATACAGTACACTGTCAGGCAATGAGGTCAGCTCTTCAATGCATGAAATTCTGCCCACTAATTCATGAGGAAGACGGTACTTTCCTGGGAAGCCCAGATGTGCACTTACTGTGTACACACAGTTGGAAGTTAAGTGACTTTAGAGAGGGTAAATATTTAGTTCTTGAAGAGCTACCTTCACGTTGAATGTTATTTCCTCCATGACGTATACGCGTTCAGGAAACGCTTTAGCCACCTCTTCCACACTGTTGAAATATTGCACGGGCTCCTTTATATCTCGGTCTTGCTCCAGCAGCTTGAATTGCCCTAAAACACAGGATAACCAGAAGAGATGTGAAATGTTTATGCTGAATACCTGTCACTGTGGTGACAGCATCCTCTTTGTTCATGCCAACCCTCTTAATTAGATTTTTGTTCATCGTCACTTGTTTTAAAAGTTGGCATGGCAACAGACTTCGTAAAACCAGCACACATTATATGTGTGTTTAGATATCAGTTTAAAGATCAAAACAGGGTTTTTTCCCCTTTTGCTTATATTCTGAGGCTCTTATCAGAGACGCCAAAATCAGACTGATGTGGATGCTTACTTGTCATTTGATCCTGAAAGTGAAAGCTTCACTGCTCATGGTTTTTGACAGTGCATTGTCATTCAGTTGTAGTAACACCTGCATATATTATAACCTAAAAGCAAGGCCTCAATAATAATCCAGCAGAACTATTTTTTTAAGTTAGCACTTAGGAATTTGTAAATAGAATAACATAATATACTAGATTCCTGACTTTCACAGAATTTATATTTTTGGCTTTATTTTTTATTTATTTCATTTGAGAGATGCACACATATACATTCATGGCAGAGATAAACACAGTGATCCTGCATTTGCTGGTTCATCCCCTAGATGCCTGCAGCAGTCAGGACTGGATCAGCCACAGGCCAAGAAATCGGAACGCGGGGTCTCTCATGTGGGTGGCTGAGACCCAAATATTTGAGCCATGACCTGCAGCCACTTAGGATGAGCATGAGTAGGAAGCGCCATTTGAAGCAGCATAGCCAGGACTCAAGCCAGACACCGTAATGTGGGATGTAGGTGTCATTTCAATACTGTGTTACAAACCCTGATACTTTTGGAACCTGAACACAATTTAATGATGTGTGAATCACATCAGGAGTTCAAGAGCTGCTGGACACTGCTGAGGCACAGCGTGAAGAACGAACAGAGAGGCCGGCTGTAGAGAGAGTGCCATACTCCTTCCCTCTTACATTACTGTGGATGGAATTCATGTGAGTGGTGTATAGTATCATAGTATTCACAATGTGGAAGACGTGTGAAGAACTTGAATGTATTCTTTAAAATGTCAAGCATCTATTATGTTGTTTACACCACATCAATATTTATGACACTGCTGCTACATTCTGGAGTTGTATTCAGTCTAGAACAAGAGCCCATCAAGTCAAGGACACAAGGTTTCTTAGCACTTAGTTTCTGAATTCTGTTTACAGCAACATAAAAGCTGTCAGGAGGCAGATCTCAGCATATGTCTACCCAGCATTAGGCAGAAATTGGACAATTCTTATTCATACACTCACACACACTTTTGGTGTCTATCAGGTAGACCAGATATCCCAACAGGAGATCTGTATATATATATATATATATATATATATATATATACAGCAATCACAGTAAGGAAGTGAGCAGTGTGCACATGTCAGAAGGTGACAGGTGCCACTAAAAATGGGACAGAGCAGGAGGATGAGAATGTAGGGTGGCCAGAGCAGGTGCTGCTGAGAAGGCAGGTGAGAATGAGACATAGCGGGAACTGGGGATGGAGTTCTCTGAACCGTAAATTGTAAATACAAGCAACTGTCTCCTTATGAGACTCAGCTAGGCCTGTTGCCAAGGTGGCTGCTGTATGAGGAATATCAGGCGATCGGGAAGACAGGCTGTCAGGGAGGTAAAGGATGGTCAGATCATCAAGGCTGATAGCAACTCTGCTCTCCAACTCAGTGAAGAAAGCGTGACGTCACTGGTGCCGCAGAGGATCCTTGTGGTGGTTATGTTGAGAAGATTGCAAAGGTGCAAGACAGAGAAGCAGGAACAGCAGGGAGGAGGTATGAGACAATTGGCATGAAGTCATGAAAAAGTGTTCCAAGCAACTGAAGAAACTGTTCCCATGAAGCGAGTCAGTGCAGGCTTGAAGGATGGAGGGAAAATCAGGAGTTTAATCTAAGATGTCTACTGGATGCACAAATGGAGAAAGCTCAAAAGCTCTTAGATGGATATACAAACAGGGAAGCAAGGACAGGTCTCTGGTTGGAAATGATCAGTTGGAACTCGTCAATATACTGATGCTATTTAAAGCCATCCCACTGGACCCCGTATTGTGGTGAAGTGGGCTCAGCTTCCATCAGTGACATCAGCAGCATCCATGAGTGCTGGTTCAAGTTCCTTCTGATCCAGCTCCTTGCTAATGCACCTGAGAAAGCAGCAAGATGACTCAAATACTTGGGTCCCGGCACTCATGTGGGAGACCCGGGCAAAGACTTAGCACCAGGCTTCAGTGTTGTTCGGCTCTGGCTATTATGGCCATTTAGGGAGTGAAGCACTGGATGGAACATTTCTTTAAGTCCGCCTGTCAAACAAATAAATATTTTTTTAGGAAGCGATGCCCTTTCCAGGACAATGCTCTCATGTTTGAGACAAGATAGTGAAGAGTTCTATGGGTTATGTCCAAGGAGACAGAGATGGACTAGTAGGGGAATGAGGTCAACCAGAAGGGTGTGCATCCTTGAAGCCAGCATGCTTCAAGAAACGGAGGGATCTCAAGATAGGACACTGCAATGTGGACTAAGAACTGTGATTTAACAATTTGTATTTAACTAGGAGCTTTGATAAGAGCAGGGGAATGGCTGCTCTAGAAGCCTGATGGACCAGCATTTCAGGGAGCCCAAAGAATGAGGTGAAGATGCCAGTGTAGCACTTTAGAATGCCTGGACTAGATTTAATACTTCAGTTGCTGCTTTCAGCTGCCTGCCAACACAGACCCTGGGACTTAGGGTGATTGAGCCCAAGTGAATGGGTTCCTTCTACCCACATGGGAGACTTAGACCGAATTCCTAGCTTTTAGCTTTGGTCCTGGCCTAACCTCCATTGTGGCAGGCATTTGGGGAGTGAACCAGTGGATGGGGAGGGCTCTCTCTGCCACTCAAATAAAATTTAAAAAGAGGAGACTGAAAAGGAAGACATCAAGAATCACAAGAATGAATATCACATATTTGGGGAGTTCTGCTAGAGAGGGAAGAGACATGATATGGTGGCTACAGGCAGGAAGTAGAAGTGGAGTTCAGGTTATGTTTGTTCTCTTTAATATGATGGATGTTGATGGAACAACCAATAGGGAGAGGCTGATGATGGGGGGTGGAATTATTGGAGCATTGCTGTTGAGCAGGCAAAGGGCATGTATCTAACATGGGAATGCAGGGGCAGCCTTGAGACAGTCTAGGCAGCTTCTCTCTGGGTCCTTTTCATTACTAGAAAATTTGTAGCTGAAGTTGGAAGGAAGGTGTCAGGTAGGTTAGGGTTGGCTAGGCTTTGCCACAGCATCAGCTGCCAGAGGCTGACACTGGGGGCTAAATCTGTCAAGTCAAACCACAGTACCACCTGGAGAGTGCATAATCCGGGAGTGGGAGTGGTCTAGGAGGGAAATAGTGGGCACCTCCCTGTTGGGTTACCGCTCCCACTGGAAAGCATGAAAACCAGGACAGGGGCAGGGGTGGCTAGACAGAACAGCACCCACCAGTATGTGTGTGGGCTGGATAACAGGGCAGGTTGGGTCGCACTAGGTTTCAATGCATTCAAAGCAAACCAGAGGGTGGGGCTGTGAGCCTCTCCAGCTAAGGTCAGACACACGGGGACAAGCACTAAATAGGCAGAGATCTGCACCCCAATAAAGGCTGTGACACTGCTAAATGAGTATGACAAGTGAGAAGCGTGAAGGAAAGGCAAGTGCAAGGGAGTGATTATGAACAACAGGCTGAGTAAAGAGGGACCCAAGATCTTGGGTGGGAGGAAGAGGGACACTGAGAAAAATAGTATGATCAATGCATTTTGGATTATGATGGAGTAGTTTTTTTTCTACTCTAGAAGAGTGAGCACAAAAGCTAGGCAGAAGAGAGTGGCTGAGTTAAAATATCTCCTGGAATCCAAAACCGTAAGAAGAACTTTCCAGGGATTAATTCAAGTCAAGGGTAGCTCAGATGAGCATTGGAAATTATTTCCCAAGACAAAACAGACAAGCTTTCAGGATCATGATAGGACCGACTGGGGGCAAAAGTAGTCAACAGTGGTTTTAAAATCTGTAGGTCTATTTGGTTGGAATTTCTGGAATCCAAGGAGAGAGGCACAAGGTATTTTCCTGCAATTCTAATGATCGGAATGATTATTTGCATTTTCTAATTTGTTAGATGAGTAAGAAAGGAAATTGCAGATTTGGAACCTGAACACAATTCAAGCCATCTATCACAAAACTAAGTAGAGTTTCACAAAAAGATGACATCACCTTTAAGAATATGACAGAATTTATGTTAAATTTGTGATTAACATTTTAGAAAATTTTCCTAAGATATAGGGATCTGCATGTATGCCAGCCACTCATAAGGTGGTTGGTAGTATATGCCAGCCACTCATTAGGTATTTGGCAGATATTAAAATCTCTGAGTCCAAGGATTATCTAAAAGCTACATGCCTATAAAATTCTGCTACCCCTTCAGAAATGCATACGTGGGCCAAAGATGCATTAGTGTGTCCTAACATTATTCTTTAATGTACCAGATATTACTTTATATATTAGTCTTGTTTAACAGAAATAGTGCAAATCACTTAATGCTGTTAAATGTTCTACTAATCACAGTTTTTAAAAAGGGAGAAAGAAGTGAAATTATGTTAGATTTATTTATCTTTACCAGAAAGTCAGATTTACAGAGAGAAGGAGAAACATATATGAGATACAGATTTTCCATGTACCGGTTCACACCACAAGCAGCTGCAATGGCCAGAGCTGAGCCAAAGCCATGGGCTTCCTGTGGGTCTACCACATGGGTGCAGGGTTCCGAGGCTTTGGACCATGCTTCATTGCTTTCCATGGTACAAACAAGGTGCTGGAGGTGAAATGGAGCAGTTAGGACAGGAACCGGTGTTCATATGCGATCCCAGTGTGTGCAAGGTGAGGACGTGAGCCACTAGGCTAACATGCTGGGCGCTGAAATTAATTTCAGCAGTAAGTAATTTAAGTGAATTCACTATAAA